TTTTTTTTGTGAGTGAGATTAATTAATGCATATTCATATTTATTTTAGAACTACAGTAACATCTTCTGATTTCTCTCAACATGGGGACAGGAGAGCTGTCAATCAATAAATTGGAAAAAAAAAAGTAACTTGCATTACTTATTTGAAAAAGTAACTCAGATATTCTCTTGTAAATTAAAAAGTAATGCGTTACTTTACTAGTTACTTGAAAAAAGTAATCTGATTATGTAACTCGCGTTACTTGTAATGCGTTACCCCCAACACTGGTATTCATTTCATTTACTGGCCTTTCATTTTTCATTTACATGGTAAAATATTTTTTTAAATAGAAAGTACTGACAATGCAACAAGGGTGCACTAAAATATAAAGATAGAACAAGTGTTTCTTGAGCAATAAATCAGCATTTCAATCAATCAGCATTGATTGAATTTTCAATTTTTCACAAGTGTTTTACCCATATTTTGAATCGCTGTGTTGTGTTTTAGGGTTAAAGAAAATGCCCATAAACTTATTAAAAAAAGTACTGTATATATAATAAAATAGAAAACGGTTAAAGAAAAACATTTAAATTGTAATAATATTTCACAATATTACTGTTTTTACTGTATATTTGATTACAAAAATGCAGCCTTGGTGATCACAAATCGATCAATCAATCAATCCTACCAACCCCGGACTTTTGAATGATAGTGTACATTAATGAAATAGTTGATTACATTAATTTAATACATTCTTTTTATTTCTGGACTGCCAAACTAAAAAAATGTTACACAACTTTCAAACTAAAAAAAATCATTCAGGAAATTCTCCAAGTAACTGACAGATTCGTTCCATCCAACACAGAGAACAGGGAAGTTGGAGAGTCATGTTGATGGCATGTTTAAATGGTTTCAATTACATAAGTCAAATTACTCGTGCATTTCTTTACGACACAAATCATGAATATATGTTTATTTAATCAGGTTGTTTTGAACCGGAGATACAGATCCCAAGATGTACATCTGTTGCAAGATTCATAGCTTTCTTTTCTAAACCATGTAGAAGAGCCTGTCCATCCAGGCACAACACACACACACTGACAATGAGAGTCTGAACACCTGATCATATGCAACAGATTTCATTATGTCCCTTACATTATGTCCAGAATTTTAACCTACCTACCTAGTTTTTTTTTTTAAACTACTTTAATTCCATAAGCACTTGAGTTCAAAATCAACCACCCTTAGTTTCCATAATTGTTTGGTGGATGTCCAAATCAACATCTTATGTATTTGTTTTGTCATATGTAACTATTCTGAATAATTTGAGTAAGCCTGAACAATATGCTTTCTAATGATCAACATAAGAGAAACCATGATATATAATGTCCAAATTACAGCCTCACAACTACAAGTGACATAAAGCTTATTAGCAGTAAATTAATTTTCTAAAGTCCATAAGGCCAAAGTCGCTCCTACAACTCTTATTGCACCATAGTGAGTGAATTGCTACTTTTTGTGTCAAATAAACTAAACTCAACTCAAATATAGTTTGTTTTAATAAATAGAACATTAATTACACTGTTCATGTAAAAATACAAATTCGAATAATATTGGTAGTTGTTTTGTTGATGGTGTAAGAAATGTTTATATATTTAACATGAAACATGTCAATAAAAAAAAAAAAAAAAAAGGGAGGCCTTCTTATAAAAATATACAGTGGTGATACACTTAGAAAAAAGTGAAAAAGCTGTCACTTGATACACCTTTTTACCTTATTTAGGCCTAAAACGTGTATATTAGCACCTTAAAGGTACATATTATTAACTAATGTGCATGGTATTACCATGGTACACTTCCAAAGTATGTTACATTTCCAGAAATCATATTTTCAACAAGACACTTACTCATATTTCTTTGCAGCTGACATTACGTATGAACGGCGATATGCTGCCGATCCCTTCAGCACACTGCTGGCTGCCTCTGTCCTGTACACACACACACATACAAAGGAAAGGTTATTTTATGAAGAGGAAAATGAAGTCACCTTGGATAAATCAGTCTGGGGAGTGTGGTCTCTCACCTCTTTTCCATTTCCTCTGGACTCAGAGTTGGTTCAGACTGCACTGTCTTTTCATTGCTGGACCGTATTGTGTGGGGGGCTCTGGGAAAAGAAAATTTATGGAAATAAGCATAATTAAGATGTGCTAAAATGAGCTCAAAGGCTTCATGTGCGTGACCCACATGCTTGAGTGTTTTCGGCTAACTTACATTTTCTTGTAACTCTCAGATGGCTTTTTTTTGAAGCTATTTATTCCACTAAGGGAGGAGAGACAAATAGCATTCTATTAAAACTGGTTTATCTTTTATTAGCAATTACAAATCATATATTAGAAATGTAGTTTAAGTGTAAAAATACATCCATATTAATTTAATGGAATTTATTTCATGATGTTCTAATGTCTATAGAACTAGTGTGGTTTCTGATCCTTCATAATGTTCTTACGCATATCCATTGGTGGATGAATTTGATGTTGGCTTGGAATCGGTTTTCTTGAATACCCCTCTGCAAAAGTAAATGGTCACATATTAAGGAAGGTATTACAAAGGCAGTGCTGATAAAGATAACTTTTGATTGACCGAGCGTTCTCATTACCTGATTAAGTATCCAGATTCAGATGTTTTTGGTCTGTGAATTTGAAAATTAAATATTGTCATTTTTAACATGTAAAAACGTGGTTCTTTTAACTTAAATGTTCTTTGGGGAACCAAAATAATTCTTCTATGGCATCACTGTGAAAATCCCCTTTAGGAACCTTCATTTTTAGGAGTGTATATATTACATATTTATTGACCCTATTCCCTCCTATTTTCTACAAGCCACATCTCCTACGCTTCTTCTGTCACTCCTACAGTATCAGGTATCTCCACTGCTTAAAAAGTACATAATCTTATAATAACAGAACATTTCAGATAAGTTTCTTTCCTTGTATCCATTGCAAAAGCACTTTTTTTACTTCTCATAGAACAACCAGCTAGACAACAATCAGTCAAGCTTCAAAAGCAGACATTCAATAGAAACCTTGCTATGAGTCAACAAAGCCCTGCGGTTGGCGAAAGCATCCTCTCAATCATTCATCCTCATTCTGCTGTACCACTCTGTAGCCATCAACACAGTAATTCACCAGATCCTCCTGTCCACTTTATTGTTCACAGAACTGCACTTCACTAGTTTGAGTATTACTTTACAGACAGATTATTCATGGTGTGCTGGTGTCAAATAACTGCTGGTGTGCCTCAGGGTTCGGTTATTGGTCCCTTCCACTTTCTGAAATATACAACATTGATGTGACCGATCATCCAGAAACATTGATTTTCCTGCTAGTGCTATGCCAATGACATGTAGTTCTCCTTCCAACTTGACAATCTTACAGTGGCTGCACAGACCTTCATTTGTCTGATAAGGACGGGACACACAAAGCCAACTTCAAAGAACTAGCGGCGACAAAAGCCGACGGTGTTGTCAGCTGGGTCTGCACCAAAAATCTGTGCTTGAACACACCGCACAGACTACAGCTGACTACAAACTAGCATGCGTGTCCTGCTCCTGCATATATCAGCAGCTATCATTAGTCTGTATTCGTCATTCAAAAGGAGAAACCGAAACAAGGATATACGCAGATATACGAAACGTAAACAAATCAATGCTTGCGGTCTGGGTGAAAAAACACCACCTCCAGCTTAACCTACTGGGAAGCTTCTTTTCTTCCAAGCCAATCCAATTTAAGACAACACCATTCAGTAAGGTTCACAAATGAACCATTCAGGTTGCCAATAAGTTGGGGATAGTGTTTGACCACCATCTAAATCTAAGCAGACCACATCACCAAGGACAACCAGTCATGCAGTTTTTTTAATGCTGCACAACACTGGAGTACCGCATTGCTCCTCTAGCTCAAATCTCTGAACATGATTCAAAATGCAGTGATGAGTTAGGTCTTCAGTAAACCCAAAAGAACACTGAACAATACACAAATGACTCTTTACTGTGCTCTACTGACATTTTCTACATCTGTAGGTTACGCTGGCCTGCTAAATGAGTAAATGTAGATGTAGACCATGGAGAGTAATAATGCATACTTCTCTGTGTCAGATCTGGGCTGAGGCACATTGGCTGTGGGTGAGGAAACGGGACTTGTTTCTTCAAACACACCATTTGAACGGTTTGCTCGCACTTCGGCGACCCTACAAGAGAGATTGTGTTAGATAAATTGTACTGTGAACTTTGAACTTTAAGATTTGTTATAATATTTATTTCTCACCATGGTTTCTCCTCCTCATCTTTCTCAAGATTTTCTTGCTGTTGTCTCTGTATCCAGCTGTTGTCTCCTTTTAGAGCGGTGCGAACCTTTGTGGTCCGCAAAACTGATTGTCTGTCCCCCTCTGAAATCAAGACAGTCCAGAGCTTATCATACACAAACATATAAAGATATATTTTAATATCACTACATTGAACCAAAAGTTGATTACATCAGTGCTAACAGTGGTATGAGACAATAAAAAAAAGTTGAGTGTGTTAAGCAATGTGTGACATGTGGCACGACAGGATTTGATGCTGTGACGCAGGACATCATTGAGAGATCTGTAACACTGAACCATCAAGCAAGATTCATAGCTTTCTTTTCTAAACCATGTAGAAGAGCCTGTCCATCCAGGCACAACACACACACACTGACAATGAGAGTCTGAACACCTGATCATATGCAACAGATTTCATTATGTCCAGAATTTTAGCCTACCTATTTTTTAATTCCATAAGCACTTGAGTTCAAAATCAACCACCCTTAGTTTCCATAATTGTTTGGTGGATGTCCAAATCAACATCTTATGTATTTGTTTTGTCATATGTAACTATTCTGAATAATTTGAGTAAGCCTGAACAATATGCTTTCTAATGATCAACATAAGAGAAACCATGATATATAATGTCCAAATTACAGCCTCACAACTACAAGTGACATAAAGCTTATTAGCAGTAAATTAATTTTCTAAAGTCCATAAGGCCAAAGTCGCTCCTACAACTCTTATTGCACCATAGTGAAGTTGAGTGTGTTAAGCAATGTGTGACATGTGGCACGACAGGATTTGATGCTGTGACGCAGGACATCATTGTTTTGGTTGTAAGAATGGAATGCCATAAATTAATAGCTCTGACTTATGCACAAACACTGACAGTTTGACTCATGTGCGATTCAATAAGATAAGATACATTGAAACATTGGTTATTGGATCTTACCTTTGGACATTGTTAGTGGCCCTCTAGTCAAAAAGGTCTAAAAACTGCCTCGAAAGACACCTGGATTAAAAAAGAAAAAAGGTCAGTCATTAAAAACCCCACAAAAGCAAATATTTGTATTCATCAGTGTTGGGGAAAGTTACTTTTAAAAGTAATGCATTACAATATTGCGTTACTCCATAAAAAAGTAACTAATTACGTTACTTAGTTACTTTTTATGGAAAGTAATGCGTTACGTTACTTTTGCGTTACTTTTTATCATTATGTCCAGAATTTTAGCCTACCTATTTTTTAATTCCATAAGCACTTGAGTTCAAAATCAACCACCCTTAGTTTCCATAATTGTTTGGTGGATGTCCAAATCAACATCTTATGTATTTGTTTTGTCATATGTAACTATTCTGAATAATTTGAGTAAGCCTGAACAATATGCTTTCTAATGATCAACATAAGAGAAACCATGATATATAATGTCCAAATTACAGCCTCACAACTACAAGTGACATAAAGCTTATTAGCAGTAAATTAATTTTCTAAAGTCCATAAGGCCAAAGTCGCTCCTACAACTCTTATTGCACCATAGTGACACAAAATGAACGCGTCGACACAGCTTGTGCAAGACGAAACATGTTTGAACAGCGATTGTGACAGTGACAGAGTGAAAGCCAAATCAACGATATGAAGGCAAAAACACTTTCACTGTGTCATATATCAGCCAGTACAGGTGCAAGATTCATAGCTTTCTTTTCTAAACCATGTAGAAGAGCCTGTCCATCCAGGCACAACACACACACACTGACAATGAAAGAGTCTGAACACCTGATCATATGCAACAGATTTCATTATGTCCCTTACATTATGTCCAGAATTTTAACCTACCTACCTAGTTTTTTTTTTTAAACTACTTTAATTCCATAAGCACTTGAGTTCAAAATCAACCACCCTTAGTTTCCATAATTGTTTGGTGGATGTCCAAATCAACATCTTATGTATTTGTTTTGTCATATGTAACTATTCTGAATAATTTGAGTAAGCCTGAACAATATGCTTTCTAATGATCAACATAAGAGAAACCATGATATATAATGTCCAAATTACAGCTTCTTAAGTCCATAAGGCCAAAGTTGCTCATTGCACCATAGTGACACAAAATGAACGCGTCAACACAGCTTGTGCAAGACGAAACATGTTTGAACAGCGATTGTGACAGTGACAGAGTGAAAGCCAAATCAACGATAGTGAGAAAGCTAACAGGCCTGATGTGGTTTCACCAGGGGTCACACCTACGGGACAGGAACAGGTTTGGACTGTGAGTCATAGCGATAGCGATTCATATCTGTGAGAGGAGAATCTCAGCTATCTGAACAACACCCCCACCTCCCATCCAACGCCTGCTGCAGGAATTGCAAAAATGCAACATTAGTGAAACATTGCTGTCATCGGTCTTTTGTGCAAGATAAAATGCATCACTAATGGACGGCTAGCTTGAAATAACAATAGTTATATTCATGTGCGATTGAAGTTGTTAGATATTGTAGAGGAGGTGGAAGTGGGCAGAGAAAAATTAGTTGGTAGGAGATTGCATAGCCATCCAATAATTACTCTAACGATACAAGAGGGATCATACGTCATTATGATTACATTCTTTATAATTACACTATTTGTAAATAAAGCAATAAGCCCCAAGAAGCCGTGGTTTACAGTGAATTTATAACAGCTAAGGGGCGTTGTTAGATACGATGCGAAGCGGAGTGCCTAAAACTCCCTTAGCTGTTATAAATTCACTGTAAACCACGGCTTCACGGGGCTTATTGCTTTTATAAAACGGTTATTCCATATACGTAGTAAGGTTTCACAAAATAAAACAGAGCAAATAAAGTGTAATGATATTAATAAAAACAGTATTCTTCCACCAAACAATGTAGTTCCAATCAGAATCAAGGACCGGAACTATCCGTTTTATAATTAGAATTTTAAGTCAAGTCTTACAAATACTTAATGCAGTAACTGATAGCAAGGTAACATTAATTGTACTGCAAAAAATTAAACGGCATCCTTCCTTTTCCCTTATAGAATATCCTGTGAAAATTCTGTCATCATTTACTCACACTCATGTTATTCCAAACCCATAAAACGTTTGTTCATCTTCAGAACACAATTGAAGATATGCTCTCTTCACTTTTGTTCATCCATTGAAAATCTGCACACCTAAAATTTCAACACATCACCATGTTAAATTATAAAAGGCATGGTTAATGTAATACATATGAATCCATATTCATAATCCATGAGTTCATATGGATTATGTTTACACTGTCTTTTTATGGCATTATTGCTTTGGTGGAATGGAATGTTTCTTATAGTTTTTGAGGAAAACATGAGGGCCGAGAGTAAATGAAGACAGAATTTTTATATTTGGGTAAATTATCCCTTAAATGACACAAATATAGTTGAAATCAAAAGTTTACATACACCTTGAAAAATCTGCAAAATGTTAATTATTTTACCAAAATAGGAGGGATCACACAAAATGCATGTTATTGTTTATTTAGTACTAACAAGATATTTCACATAAAAGTTGTTTACATATAGTCCACAAGAGAAAACAATAGTTGAATTTATAAAAATGACCTGTTCAAAAGTTTACATCCCTTGATTCTTAATAATGTGTTGTTACCTGAATGATTCACAGCTGTTTTTGTTTAGTGATGGTTGTTCATGAGTCCCTTGTTTGTCCTGAACAGTTAAACTGCCTGCTGTTCTTCAGGTCCCACATATTCTTTGGGTTTCCAGCATTTTTGTGTATTTGAACCCTTTCCAACAATGACTGTATGATTTTGAGATCCATCTTTTCACACTGAGGACAACCGAGGGACTCGTATGCAACTATTACAGAAGGTTCAAACGCTCACCGATGCTCCAGAAGCAAAAAGCATGAATTAAGAGCTAGGGGGTGAAAACTTTTGAACAGAATGAAGATGAGCAAATTTTTTTTTTTTACATTTTGCCTAAATATCATATTTTTTCATTTAGTACTGCCCTTCAGAAGCTACAGATGATACTTACATGTTTCCCAGAAGACAAAATAAGTTAAATTTACCCTGATCTTCAAATTCAAAAGGTTTGTATGATCCCCCTTATTTTGGTAAAATAATGAGCAGATTCGGCAAGGTGTATGTAAACTTTTGACTTCAACTGTATGTGCAAAACGTCACATTACACAAGTAAAACGGGAAGCGAATTCCATTTCATTTCAAGTATCCAAAAAAAGGAACATGACACAATTAGAAACTTGATTTGAAATGTATACTGCAGTTTCGAAAAACTAAACAGCTGCTGTTACATAAACTCTGAATTCTTTTGGACCAAAACAGAAAGCTGCAAATGTCCATATTTGCCATCTGAATTCAACAACACTGTTGAACTACATGATGCTACATCCTGGTAAAAAGGTGCATTTAGAATCGGAATGATTAAGTGCATTGTTAATATTGCCTAGTAAACACTGGTAATCCAACGGACACATGCAAGGCTCATATTGCAGTTCAGCAAACAGTAATCTATGTCAATCACTCTCCAGCGTTGGTTATGTGGTAAGCCTGTTAATATGAGACTCAATTCCTTGAGGGCCACAGCTTTGCACAGTTTTGCTCCAACCCTAATCAAACACACCTGATCCAGCTAATCTTGAGGTTTTGAGGATTACTAGAAACTTCCAAGCAGCAGGCGTGATTTAGAGCTAAACTCTGCAGAGCTGTGGCCCTCCAGGAATTGAGTTTGAGACCACTGGTTTAAATGGTTGTAAAAGCGAAATTAAACTTGAAGTGAAATCTTATTGGCAGAGCAGTGCTTGGTAGTTTACTTACAAATTGTAATCCGTTACTGATTCCAAATTACATGACCAAAATTGTAGTTAGTAACGTAATCCATTACATTACACATTTTAGGTAATGTAATCAGACTACTTTTAGATTACTTTTGACCTACTTCGTTTATCACATTGATTTAAATTAGTGCTGTCAAACGATCAATCGCATCCAAAATAAAAGTTTTTGTTTACATAACATGTGAGTGGACTGTTTCTATTTATTATGTATATATAAATACACACACATGCATGTATATTTTTAAGAAAAAAGTGTTATGTTTATATATTAAATATATTTTTATATAATATAAATTATATGAATATATTAAATATATACACATGTAAATATTTTCAAAATATATACATAATAAACACAGTACACACGCATATATTATGTGAACAAAAACTTTTATTTTGGATGTGATTAATCACGATTAATCGTTTGACAGCACTAATTTAAATATAATAATCTTGTACCATACTGATATAAACATACAAAAATTAAGAAAATCTATTCCATTCATTGTTATTAACAACATGAAGTGCATTAAACATTACATTATGTCAATGTATCCCAAACTGGGGGTTGTGAAGGAACTGCAGGGGATTTGTGAGTTTAATGAAAAGCTAATAATGAATTAAAAATGCTATATTAAAATAAATCATTTTTAAAATCAATCAAATTAAAACATGTACTAAAAAAACTGAAATATTTACCTGCATGTCATGTGACCATTAACCAACATCAAAGAACCATGAACATGCAAATGTGATATTATTATTAAAATATTTATTTTAAAATCTCAGGGGTACTTCAAGTTAATATATTACGTGAAAGAGGATCAGATGACAAAAAAAGTTTGTGAATTTGTGCATTTTAATGTGTCTGAAAGACAAAAGCCTTCCAAAGACATAGAAATACAGAGTGATAATTCAAATCAAATTAACATGTTCATCAATAGTTGATGCAATGTTGAAACACTTCTTAAACCTGAAATGATTTTTGCAAATCCAGTATTCAAATCCTGCAGACTGTGTATATAAACAGTAGGCTGTTTTAGAAATGAACATTTAAAAGATGAATTAGGGAGAATCAATAATAATGTATTGCTATTGTGTAAATAATATGTAATCATGTAATCCATAAAAAGTAACTGTAGTCTGATTATGAGTATTATTAAAATGTAATTTAATCTAATTACAAGTACTTAATTTCTGGAATCTGATTAGTATCAGTTACTACCCAGCTCTGCTTATTGGTAGTGGCAAAAGGGTCAATAAAAGTTCAACAGTACACTCTAAAAAAATGCTGGGTTAAATACAACCCAGTGCTGGGTAAAATAGGGACAAACCCAGCAATTGGGTTGTTTTGACCCAGCGGTTGGGTTAAATGTTTAACCCAGCCTTCTGGGTAGTAACCCAACCGCTGGGCCAAAACAACCCAATCGCTGGGTTTGTCCCTATTTTACCCAGCACTGGGTTGTATTTAACCCAGCATTTTTTGGAGTGTACCAACAGAAATAAATGTGCCACAAATAAATAGCTTACGTGAGGGTTTTGGAGAGCAATTTCTGTGACATTTAAACATTTTCAAACAGAGAAAGTGTTGCTATGTCATGGTTGCTGGCAAGGCTTGCGGCAGCATTTTTTTCAGTAATGTTCAATTAAGCATTATTAATGGGTTTAGCTACTGAGGTTTGTGGATACTGACACCGTTTTGGCTGGCTTAGATGAAAAAACACTAACCCAATGTGCCAAGCTCCTATTGGCCATATGACATCTTACAAACACTAACAGTGTCAACCAGCTCTAGAATTTTTAACATCACACTAAAACAGTTTTTTATTATTAGAATTATTTTCTAGAGCAGGTTTCAATTTTCTAATTTTCCAAGACTGAATAATTACATGACAAAACTCAAGGTCTCTCAAAACTAAGGATGTGCTGAAAATCTGTATAAAAACTGCATAGAAAAAGCTTTTTGGCCATTGCTGCATTTAATGAATGACTGCAAACCCCTTTGAGAGATTTGAGAGTGTTGGAAATGGAAAACCAAAACTTGATGCATCATTCATGTGGGTTGTTTACACATTATACACACACACACACACACACACACACACACACACGTGGGATCCACGAATGCACATCTAGAAACATCTCTCACTCATTCAGTTTCTCTCATACTCTTTCACACACATTCCTTACCTGACCTCAGAGCGGAGAATCAGCCTTCAGGTGTTCAGCTGCTAAAATATGCCCATGAACTACATTCTCCACATAGGTGAAGTCCACAAGATCGGATCCATCTCTAAAGAGCAAATCAGCATTAGACAGCACAGTGGGATCCAAACGTCGAAGACCACACCACAAATTTGAGATTCGATTTCTAATATAAAGCAAGGACATACAACAAAAATGTAAAACAAACAAACAATGACGTAAAATGAATACAAAACAGATTCGAAATCTTGCACTAGGTCACTGATGAAATTGAATTCACACAGATTGTCAAATTTTCTCGATTTCATCGAAGCACAAGATGCTTTCTGGATCCTTCTCAAAACATGCTGCAGAACATGATCATCAGGTTTTGTTCATGCCACCTTGAATGCTCCAATCCTGCTCCTGGATGGCCACTTTGCTGCAGGATTCAGCTCTAACTTCATTAGACTTTGATTAGCTGAATGAAGCGTGTTTCACTGGGGCTAGAGCCAAGACGGCCTTCCAAGAGCAGGATAGGACAACTATACATTGAAGCAAAAGAAGGACTGCTAGAAAAAGGAAAAAAATAAGTACTTTTAGTCAAAACACATTTAAGAGCAAATAAACTAATCTAAGGAATCCTAGACTATTCTTGTTAAAGGGATAGTTCACCCAAAAATGAAAATTCTGTCATTAATTACTCACCCTCGTGTCGTTCCAAACCCGTGAGACCTTCGTTCATCTTCGGAACACAATTTAAGATATTTTTGATGAAATCTGAGGGCTCTCTGACCCTCCCATAGACAGCAAGGTAACTACCAAAATATCTTAAATTGTGTTCTGAAGATGAACGAAGGTCTCACGGGGTTTGGAACGACACGAGGGTGAGTAATTAATGACAGAATTTTCATTTTTGGGTGAACTATCCCTTTAAGAACCCTTGGTCATGTTGAGCGTTTTGGCAGATTATAGCGCCCCTTTGTGGTCGATTACCAGAGGTGCTCTCCCTTGAGTTAGCTAGCTAGACAGTTTACCAACAGGAGTATTACCAATGATTAATGTGAGGTATGTTTCTAGCAAAATGTAAAAAAAAAAAATAGCTGAAAAATGATATAACTTCAGCTTATGATGCTTTAATTCAACTGTACAAGCCACCCGCTCTCTCTACTTGTTTCAGCATCAAGCACTGAAAAACCCATACGGGCCAAAACAATGACATTTCCATAACAATAAGTGGTCGGATACGGAGCACTGCCAGATTCACATTTTCCAAAACACTGCACAGAAGACAGTATGACAGAGCATTTCTGTCACGCAAGCAACAAGCCCGAGAGAGGATATGATGAGTTTTGTTGTCAAGTGTCTGTTTTAGAAATGTCCACAGTAAACTACCTTTTACAGCTATTCTTAGGCTGTCAGATTTAGGAACCCAAACACTCCAAAATTGAAAAAAAGTGGTATCCAGATGAACTGTGCAGTGTGGATCAATGATCTCGACTGGACTGAATCACGGGCGAGGCCTTCATTAAGTGTAGTGTATGAAAACTGCATGTGAAAATACAACACAGTACAAAGGTTCATTAACAAAACAACCCATAAACAACTATTACATTAAACAAACATTAAAATGTGCATATTTTCTGTCAAGCATTATGACAGTATAAACATCATATGAATGACTGTTTGAGATTGTTTGAACTCGAAACACAGAAACAATGTCTGTAGTTGCCTTTCTGTTTCTGTTTATGTGCTCCCCTTTCTTTCCACAAAAGACACATGTATTTAGCTGATCAAACACTGTACCTGTGCTTTTGTGATGCTTCAAACACGCTTGTATCTATAAACCCATCACCCGCAGGTGGTCCGGATTCATCGCCAACACTTCGTTTCAATAATACTTTTTAAAGAATCAAATAATTGATTTTTGTTTCACTATTTTGAACTTCAACTCCACAAACACACAAACCTTACTACTGTGTGTGGGACTAACAGAAACTGACGGCGAATCATCATTTCGGTTGTGAACCTATAGAGGGTCAACTGCCTGAAGCTGAACATGAAAATGGGCATTTAATCATTTGTAACCCCGTCTATGAAATCCAGGCTAAAGTCTCAAAATCTAATTATGAGATAACAAGCATCAAAGTTTGATTTCAACCATTAATTTCACTATGATTTCAATTTTTGACATGGCCTTACTCAGTCAGTATTAAAGATATCAAGGTTACATTTTCACAGAATGTTCTTTATCTTATGAAGTATGATTTTATGTAGACAGACAACAGTAAACTTTAGCTGAGTTTTCACAGCCAGGGTCTTATTGTTTTTAAACTAAATATATAAAGTTATAGTGTGATAAAATGTTTATTATTATTATTATTATTATCATTTAATAGATTACATCCATTTGGAAAATCACCAACTTTTTTATATTTTTCAACTTTTTCTATTTGTTTTCTTTTATTTATTATACAATTAACAAAAAGCTAAAAAGGCATCTAACACTAGCTTGCTCTATTCTTTTTCTATTCTATCTATTATATCATTTAAGTTTTAATTTATGTTTCTACGTGTGCTGCGTTAAGCTAACTGAGCAGTGTTGGGGGTAATATATTACAAGTAACGTGAGTTACGTAATCAGATTACTTTTTTCAAGTAACTAGTAAAGTAACGCATTACTTTTTAATTTACAAGAGAATATCTGAGTTACTTTTTTAAATAAGAAATGCAAGGTTTTTTTTTTTTTCCAATTTATTGATTGACGGCTCTCCTGTCCCCATGTTGAGAGAAATCACAAGATGTTACTGTAGTTCTAAAATAAATATGCATTAATTAATCTCACTCACAAAAACAAAAAAAAACAGAGATTCAGTATTCCTTAACTAAGTAACGTAATTAGTAACTTTTTTATGGAGTAACGCAATATTGTAATGCATTACTTTTAAAAGTAACTTTCCCCAACACGCTTGCATATTATTGCCGTTTTGTTGATTTTGATTGCTTCTATTGTCCTCATTTGTAAGTCACTTTTATCCAAAGTGTCAAGATAGTATTCTAGCAGGTAACAGTGTGTCACCTAGTGGATCAAAGGAGTCTCTGCTGCACTGTTTTAGACGTTTGCAGCAAAGTGCCGCTGTCGCTCACCCGATGATGAACTTCATCTTTCCTCTGCGGGCTGGATCTACCAGGATGGGCACTAACTGAGGGTCCCGGGGGCCAAAGATGCCATGAGGACGAATAGCAACAGTGAGGGAACCCTTGTCTTTACTGCAGGCCTCCAACACCAGCTGGAACAGAGATTGTTGATTGTAATGCACATCAACCAGAATTCAAGCAAAATTAACTCATGAACTAATTAGTTCTTTTGATTCATTTCAGAAGAGAGCAGAAGAGAGATGCAATGCTATTGATATGATTCATACCCACCTTTTCCTGTTGGATTTTAGTCTCTGTATAATAATCAACTGGATGTTTTTGCTCGCTGCTCTGCAGATGTTCACAATATCAAAACAAGCTGAAGTTATTGTCCCTCGCCTGGCAGAAGAACATATCTACAAAGCATGTAGAGCTTTTAACAAACACAGTTAAACACTGGTAGACATGGGGCAGAAAATACAAACATGCACAAATGACAATAAAATAGATAATAAATCAAAGTAAATGGAATGAGTTGTGACCAGTGTGCACTGCAGATATATAAATGCACAGTATGGAAACAGAAATTAAAAGTGCATTAAAATTAATATGTTGTCATAATGGTAATATCCTAAATACACAATACTGCGCATGCGCGTCATTCAAATCCGATTGAATCAGTGCAGGTAATAGAGAAAAGGTGTTTCAGGTGTAACTACTATACTCACTGGATTAATAAACAATATTCATCTGCTTAGAGTTCTTCAAAACCATGTGACTATAAACCATTCACTGCACAGCATTTTCTAAGATTTTAGTTTTTACTCTGAACTGTTCACTGAAACCAAACTTACTTTTACGATCTAGTTACGCTCGAAGCACAATATATAAATACTTTTTTTTTTACTGTAAACTTTCAGTTAAGCAGCACTCACCTGTATATCTCAAACTAGAGCCACAGCTGTAATGATTATGGGCAGTGAGCGGAGAAAGCTCTGATTGGTCGAGCCAACTATCAGGAGATCTACCAGGATGGGCACTAACTGAGGGTCCCGGGGGCCAAAGATGCCATGAGGACGAATAGCAACAGTGAGGGAACCCTTGTCTTTACTGCAGGCCTCCAACACCAGCTGGAACAGAGATTGTTGATTGTAATGCACATCAACCAGAATTCAAGCAAAATTAACTCATGAACTAATTAGTTCTTTTGATTCATTTCAGAAGAGAGCAGAAGAGAGATGCAATGCTATTGATATGATTCATACCCACCTTTTCCTGTTGGATTTTAGTCTCTGTATAATAATCAACTGGATGTTTTTGCTCGCTGCTCTGCAGATGTTCACAATATCAAAACAAGCTGAAGTTATTGTCCCTCGCCTGGCAGAAGAACATATCTACAAAGCATGTAGAGCTTTTAACAAACACAGTTAAACACTGGTAGACATGGGGCAGAAAATACAAACATGCACAAATGACAATAAAATAGATAATAAATCAAAGTAAATGGAATGAGTTGTGACCAGTGTGCACTGCAGATATATAAATGCACAGTATGGAAACAGAAATTAAAAGTGCATTAAAATTAATATGTTGTCATAATGGTAATATCCTAAATACACAATACTGCGCATGCGCGTCATTCAAATCCGATTGAATCAGTGCAGGTAATAGAGAAAAGGTGTTTCAGGTGTAACTACTATACTCACTGGATTAATAAACAATATTCATCTGCTTAGAGTTCTTCAAAACCATGTGACTATAAACCATTCACTGCACAGCATTTTCTAAGATTTTAGTTTTTACTCTGAACTGTTCACTGAAACCAAACTTACTTTTACGATCTAGTTACGCTCGAAGCACAATATATAAATACCTTTTTTTTTTACTGTAAACTTTCAGTTAAGCAGCACTCACCTGTATATCTCAAACTAGAGCCACAGCTGTAATTATTATGGGCAGTGAGCGGAGAAAGCTCTGATTGGTCGAGCCAACTATCAGGAATCAACCTGACAAGTGAGTCTAACCAATGAGAGAAGGGCTACGTCAAAGAGCGCCACTGCGCGACCCAATCAGTAAAAAGAACTTCAACACAGTCACATCCCCTACATGTGATTTTTAGTTTATTTTTGGGGATATTATAGGAAAATTTAAGGTGTACATTTATGAGATATACAAATAACAAAACGTAAATAACAACATAATGTTAAATTTGTCAATTTCATGCAAAATGATTGGTTGAATTCCAAAACTATTGCTACTCTCACTATTTCTGCTATGTAAATATAAGACAGGGATATGAAGATAGCATGGTAGTGTGCTATTGCGAAGTTGTTATTATCTGCTGTCTGTGTAACTAGAAATATCATGACCAGTAACCAACCAAAGATGGGTGTGTATGTTGTAATACAGGTTTATGTAAAAAAAAAAAATAAATAATAATAATAATATATAGTCTCTATAAAGCCTCAAGTTATGGGATAAAAATAGACATGAACTGGATACTACTTTATCCTCACAGTTTGTTGTTTAAAGAAGCGTTAAAATCCGGGAAAGAACCTTTTGTACGAAATTACGAATCTTATTTTGGCGAATGGACTTGATTAATTTGATTGTCCGGAAGATGCTAACTGGAGCGTGTTATTATATTATGAGCCGACGTCTTCCTTTCAGCCAATCAGTTTGGTCTACTGACCGAGCGTCACAGAACGTAATTAATATTCATAAGCAAAGCCTTCGCCATAGTATTATTCTCTCCACTTGCTGGTTTACTCCCGGTTAAGATGGTGAGTCACGACAAATGCTACAATGATTTGTGCTTTACCTTTTTTTTTTTTTTTTTATTCAAAATGCTGTCACACTCTTTTAGCGAACGTTATATTTTTATAACATTGAAAATATCCCCTTCAGGTAATCATGTGTTAATGCTATAGCGGTCTTTCCTTCTCATAGGAAAAATAAATACAGAGAAAATTGTCACCAGGGCATTGAGGAGTGAATTTACAACCACGGCTAAATCAATGCTACTGTTATTTAAAAGCAGAATATTATTCCAGCTTGGTTTATATATTACGCGCACTGTCTAATTTATGTTTGCATTATGTCTTGTATTCTTCATTTAAATAGTAATGTCCACTGCACTGGCCTGGTCTTGTTTTAATAAAGGTTCTATTCTATTCTGTATAACACAGGCCACTAGTCCCAAAAGACCCTCACTGGGGGCAGTAGCCCCTCGTAAAAAAGCCAATCCAAAGCCTGAGCTGACAGAGGAGCAAAGGCAGGAGATCCGAGAGGCGTTTGAGCTCTTTGACACGGATGGCTCTGGTTATATTGAGGTGAAGGAGTTAAAGGTGAGGTATAATGCCATGAACACAGCTTCAGCAGTTTACATGCTGCCACTGGCGGCCATGCCGTAGCCTACAGAGGGGTCTAAACCCCCCAATAGAGTCTTTTATACTTGGAATGTTTTAGGATTTTGAAAAAAAAATAAACAAGGTGTAAGGGAAACAGGTCAATTTAGCTCAAAGGGAATCATTTAAGATTTTAAAGGGAACTCCACCAATAATATGTAAGGGAATTTGCTTTTGGACTGCATATTTTCATATCGGTTTGTGTTTCTGATGTGCATATGTCAAACTTTCTGAGGAATCCTGCACCAGGTGGCCATGAGAGCGCTGGGGTTTGAGCCTAAAAGGGAGGAAATCAAGAAAATGATTGGAGAGGTTGATAAGGATGCTACTGGAAAGATCTCTTTCAGTGATTTTATGACAGTGATGACCCAAAAAATGGTAAGAATGAACTCCAAAGATATATTTATATTGAATTAAAAAAATGGAGTTATTCCAGCCGTATTACCTTGTCTTATTACTGTCTGGAAATCTTAAGGCTGAAAAGGACTCCAAGGAAGAAATTCTTAAGGCTTTTCGGCTGTTCGACGATGCCGAGACTGGAAAAATATCTTTCCGGAATCTAAAGAGAGTGGCCAAAGAGCTCGGGGAAAACCTCACAGACGAGGAGCTGCAGGTAGAAGAATAATCACAAAACCTGCTCGTGATCGGTGATAGACGATGGATTTCTCTTTATAAAAGATCACATTCGTTTTTTCCATGTATATGGCTGTCTTTAGGAAATGATTGATGAAGCAGACAGAGATGGTGATGGAGAAGTTAACCAGCAGGAATTTCTTCGCATCATGAAGAAAACAAGTTTGTACTGAATGTTATCAGAAGCACGTGTGAGATATACATTTCTATGTAAACATTTTCGAGTTTTTTTTTAATGATTTTGCCATTTTATGCACAGTACCATTCCAAAACCTTGATGCCTGTCAAGCCCATCGGTGGTTTCAGATCCCGTGTGGGTTTGCCAAAGAGCAAAACGCCAGTTGTTTACACTCTATATTCTCAAGTCTTATCAGTCAAAACATAAACAGTAGCATATTGCACAGGTTTGTAGTTAATGCGTCATATATGGTATATGGTATGCACTGAAATATTTTGTGAATTTGTCATTACATGGGTAAATCTACGGTGGCCGAGAAGTGCAAAGCAAATCACAATTCTGAAAACAAAATAACAAACGGGACCCAGACCTCGGTGACCTCATAGCTGGCTTGGGTCACATGATTCAATTTTGCATGCAAAAAATGTCCATAGTCTACTGCCAGTAGTGTTGCGATGTATGAAGCACAGCTCACACTGAAGTCCCTTTCAAAACAAGCGGCTTTCTGTTGGTCAACGCAACAATGCGCAATCTGATTGGGAAAATCCAGACACTGTGGATATCTATTAAAATGATTGGATTTTGCCTGTAAAAATTCACCAAACACTGGTAAATGTGACTGTGTCTTAAATGTGAGCCACTGTAGCAAGCAGGACAGTTCTGCACTCACGTGTTCTTGCAGCGGTCACACTGATACTGGAACTTGTAGTTGATGTCGTAACTGTGGCAGCGGGAAACCATCGGCAGCTCAGGATGAGCCAGCATCGCTTTACGAGCATAAAGCCTCCAGAACGGCCCGTGCCCGTCACGAACGTTGTTTATTAGCCATGTGGCAGCATGACACATTTCATGGACTAACGTATCTCGTAACCGATCTGTAATTGGAAACACAGTGTTTATTGCCAAGTGTCGAGAGCTGTGGAGAATTGTAAAACCGCAATGACAATACCTGCAGAGTCGCAAACTTTGACAGACAGCTCGATGCGGGCATATGGTTTCCCAGTGCCACGCTCCTGGCCTGAGATGCAATATCCTGCCGTCTTGCGCATCTTCTTGTTCCATGTGACAGACATGTCAGCGGGAAGCTGAGGGGTTGGAATTTATATTGAATTACTTTTCTTTTGTTTGTTTTTCCAGTGGCGGAAACGGGCTACCATAGAAAACAGATGGAACAACTTCAGGCTTAAGTCTGTTGGTGCGGCGAACAACTCATTTGTTTGACTTAAAGGTCTCCTCAACAATCTTCCTTCAAAAATATTCACTCTCTGAACTCAGTGCCCATCAAATGGCTCATTGTTTTCAGTGCCACTAGCCAGTGAAGCAGTGCTGTTTGCTTCCCACACACACACATCAACATCATCTCTTTAGCAACTGCAAGCTGCAATCAGGGTTGCCAGGTTTTCACAAGAAAACCCACCCAATCGCTACTCAAAACTAGCCCAATCGCGTTTCGAGGGGTCCCCAGTTAAAAATCGTGTTCGGGGGGGTAAAATACACGTTTTTTGGCGGAGTTCCTCTACTAAAATTCGCATTCCAGGGGATAAATATCATGTTATTGGAGTCGCTTCAACCCACGGACATGAAAAACAACCCGCGACTGCTAAAGTAGCCCAATTCCGCGAGAAAACCACAGACTTGGCAACACTGTCTGCAATTCAAAACTTGTCTGCTGTCATGCAGACCTTTACTTTGGTCCCTTTTTTAAAGGCATAGTTCAACCAAAAATTTAAAATGGCTGTTTTTTCTTCTTCAGTAAAACGGTAAAGAAGATTTTGAGATGAAACCGTGGTCCTAGGTGATTCATAAAATGCAAGTCAGTGGCTGCATGTTTTTGAGAATAAAAAAAAGCGGTAACACTTTAGTATAGTGACCAATTCTCACTATTAACTAGTTGCTTATTAGCATGCCTATTATTAACATATTGGCTGTTTATTAGTACTTATAAAGCACATGACCATATTCTACATCCCTAATCCTACCCAATATCTAAACTTAACAACTACCTTATTAACTATTAATAAGCAGGCACATTAGGAGTTTGAGGCAAAAGTTATAGTTAATGGTTTGTTAATAGCGAGAATTGGACCTTAAAATAAAGTGTGACCAAATAAGCATATCAGGGAACACAATTAATACTCGTGGCTCATGACAATATTTTGTGGTCTTATGAAGCGAAACGATCAGTCTGTGCAAGAAACTGAATGTTATTTACAACATTACTACCTGTACTGCAGAGCCTCAGGCAAACGGTCCGGAGTGATGCTCCGGTTCACTAACGAGTCATTCTTTTGAACCGGTTCTTTAGTGAACTATTTGAACCAGTTCACTAAATCGGACTGAACCAGTCTGAAACAGTTCACGGCTCAGTTACTCAATCAAAACTCACTTTGGGACGTCCGACAGTCACTCGAAACGCCTCTAAATGAGCCAAAATACCGGCATACATGAACTGAGGAAACACTTTGGACTCGGACCGAAGACTGATGAACCGCTGATATGAGCATGTATGAACAGAGAGCTTGAATGATGAGGTGAAATGAACGTTTTTATGGTTTCTCATTGTTTATGTAAAAAGGTGAGCTGACAGAGAGTTTACTCACTTTATATGCTTTAGACATGGAAAACATCCATGCGTCACATCATTATTGGTTGCTTTAATAATATCATTGTGTATACATGATCTCATTGCATGATTATGTAAACAAATGGGTGAATTGAACCAGTTCATTGAAACACAGTTAGCGGAAAATAATCGGAACTCCCTGTTGCTTAAGGCTCCAGATTATAGGTAAAATGTTGTAAATAATGTTCAGTTTTTTGCACAGACCAATCGTTTCGCTTCATAAGACCGCAATATATCATCAGGAGCCACTGGGTATTCTATTAATTTTGTGTTCTTTGATATAGAACACACTGAGATTTTATTCTCACTTGCATTTTATGAATCACCAAGGACCATGATTTCAGCTAAAAATCTTCTTTACTGTTCTTCTCAAGAAAAAAAAATTGCCTAAATTTTGGATGGCCTGAGGGTGAGAAAATTAACAGCAAATTTTCACTTCTGGGTGAACTCTCTCTTTAATGGAAGTCTACAGAATTTCTCACCTGCTAAATAAAAATCATACATTAAAACAAATCCGAACCCTAAATATCAGCAATTGTTATAGAGATGCTCGCCTGAGCAAACACCACTAATGATTACTACAAATGGAATTGGAGGTTTCACTTGTACCTTACTGTCAAACACACTGGTGTTGTAGAGCTGGTAGAGTTTGTTAGTGAGCTCCTCTTTGTTCAGTTTGAAGCTGCGGCTGTAGGACGATCCAGGAACAGACAGAGACTGCAGGAAGCAGCCGGGAGTTTTACACACCACCAGTCTGACAAAATGAACAACGGGACATGAATGTCAAAATCCCCTGCTGACAGAATGTGTAGGGTCTCCAGAGAGGCAGCTGTGGGGTGATTCGGCGGTACCTGCTGATGGGTGGAGCTCTGGGCTCCGTGTGGCTCACTGGTCTGCTGCGGGGCGTCTGCTGCACTGGGGTGTGGGTTGTGGATGATCCTTTAACCGGTATATGGTTAGTAACTTTCTTACCCACGGCAGTTGGTGTCGACAAACAGGGAGGTCGAGGTTTGGATTCTACATGGAGAGAGAAAGTGAACGGAAAATCAGCTGTTCTTCTTTCTGTAGTTCAGATTTGGGCACAATTTTCACCAGCCACAACAACATTACATTACATAAACATTATATAGGCATCGAAAACTAACAAATAATTAGGATTTTCCATTAGCAAATATATGTGGAAATTATGCAGACATAATTCAGCTCCATGACGGCTATGACCTAAAAACATACTTGCAAAATTGATGCCATATGATGATTTGTTTAGCATTTTCAACTGATGCGTCGGAGATCATCAACTCATTCTCACAATCTGAAAACCCAAACATGTAACCAAAACAATTGCATCTTTAAGGATCTCATTTTCATTTTAATCAGTATGGCATTTCTTCCTGTTGCTTTCCGTTAGTTTCAGCTAGTTTAGTTATTTTACGCCATAAGTTGACAGCTACATCATTACTGATTAGTAGTAGTAGTACATGACATGTCAGCATCTTAGGCTATTTTCATGGCAAAAACAATAAAAAAAAAATACAAGTGTAACAAATACAATAAAACCCAACAAAAGTTATATAACAAGATTTCTTACATTAACATATGATAAAAATTCTAAAACTTTTGCTGGCAAAATTACACTAAATAACTCTTGAAGTGAGTTCACTTCATAAAAGAGTTTTCTACATACATTAAAAGCTGGACAGCCCAATAAAATATGTTTAACAGAAAGGGGAATCTTGCAGAACATGCATTGAGTAGGGTCTTCACCTTTAAGCAGAAATGCACGAGTCGGTCATCTGGTAAATACCACTTGATCAAATCTAGTTTTAAAAGACATTAAAAATCTGTTTGAAACTTCCGGATGCATTTCATGTAATTTATTATTTGTACACGTATCCCACTCTTCTTGCCACTTATTTAATATATAACGATTAATAATAGGTTTGATCTCTGAGGGAGGACGTTACTGATTAAAAACAGTGTATGCACGATTATGTGTGTCAATGACGTAACAAACAACTTGTAAACGGTGTTTCTGTTCATACAGCACACAAACTTGCTGTAAAAATTTGCTTGTGAATCCTGAATATTTAGGGTAGCCAATTTGCCCACTTTTGCCACATCTAGCCCTCCAAACAAGACTGAAAACATGCGAGCTGTACCTGGAGGTGGCCTCGGGCTTGCATGCGTTCTGCCTCCCAGGTTGTGATTTTGTCTGACCCGGTCCAATAAGGACTGGAACTCCTCCTCAGAGCTGCATGTGTCCTCTGGACCGGTGTGTGTGGTCACTGCGACTGCTGGGGGGAGAGCACAAGGCTTCGCAGTCTCCTCTCTGCCTGTACTCGAGGCGTGATGTTCCTCAGATGGTGGGCGGCTGTGTCTGGTCCTCCAGGTGCTTTGGATAATAATGTCACCGTCATCATCACTGTCGCTCAGGAAGACAGGAGAATCACAGAGAGATGGAGGCCGTTTCTCTGGCTTCTGAACTGATTTAGGAGTTCTAGCAGTCTTGGCTTTCCCTGTGCAGAAACAACATCACTTGCTGCATACACCTTTTCCATCCAAAAAAAAAAAAAGGCACACACCTTGATCTATCAGAGCAATCAAGTGCGTTTAGTGCATTTATACTTGTATAGGAGCCTTAGGAGGTATAAATTGTTTGAAAACAGAATGTTTGTTTGGCGATGCGTGTTACAACATTCTAAAACATTTCATATTCTCATAACTTGCAGTAAACATTCCTTGCTTGCAACATTCTGTTAAACAATGGGTATAATGTCTACTTACGCATATATTAGCCTAATGTATCACTAATTTTTTAGGTCCTATAAATAATCAACATAACCTACACTTTGCTGATAAACCTGTTGTACACAATCTACATCATGCCTTCTGCCCTCTGATTGATAGCTCATTCTTTTTATCCAGTAAAGTCTTTTTTCTGTGAAAACGTACATGATTTTTATAATGTACATGTAAGAATAGCTTATTTTGCTAGTAATAAGTCAAGATGAACATGCACGGAACTGAAGCAGCTTTGGTTCTCTTGATTATCTATTTATCATTTTTAATGAAAAAAAAAACACTTAATTTTATTGTTAAAATGTAAATGACAACAGGCTTTTAAGGAAGGTTTATTGGTTTCAAATCTTTGGTTTATTTTTCTCTCATACGCATATATTAGCCTAATGTATCACTAATTTTTTAGGTCCTATAAATAATCAACATAACCTACACTTTGCTGATAAACCTGTTGTACACAATCTACATCATGCCTTCTGCCCTCTGATTGATAGCTCATTCTTTTTATCCAGTAAAGTCTTTTTTCTGTGAAAACTTACATGATTTTTATAATGTAAATGTAAGAATAGCTTATTTTGCTAGTAATAAGTCTAGATGAACATGCACGGAACTGAAGCAGCTTTGGTTCTCTTGATTATCTATTTATCATTTTTAATGTAAAAAAAAAAAACACTTAATTTTATTGTTAAAATGTAAATGACAACAGGCTTTTAAGGAAGGTTTATTGGTCTCAAATCTTTGGTTTATTTTTCTCTCAAACATCACTGAACTGCAATGAATTGCATATGAGCCATAAAAGACTGATGTATGAAGTACAATACTTAAAATTTTTTGTGCATATGTTTTGTAAAGAATTTTATACATAAGTTTGCATACGTTTTTGATGAGCATCTTATTTAATGGATACACATGAATATGTATGTCTATACACACATATCTGAAAAATCTGTGTATTGTTGACCTAAAACTAAATTTGATATAGCTAACTAAATGATTAAAGACTAAATGATTGACAATAAATTATAATTTAAGAGTTTTAAAGGAACACGCCACTATTTTTGAAAATAGGCTCATTTTCCAGCTCCCCTAGAGTTAAACAGTTGAGTTTTACCGTTTTCGAATCCATTCAGCCGATCTCCGGGTCTGGCGGTAGCACTTTTAGCTGTAGCTTAGCATAGATCATTGAATCTGATTAGACCGTTAGCATCTCGCTCAAAAATTACCAAAGAGTTTCTATATTTTTCCTATTTAAGACTTGACTCTTCTGTAGTTACATCGTGTACTAAGACCGACGGAAAATGAAAAGTTGCGATTTTCTAGGCCGATATGGCTAGGAACTATACTCTCATTCCGGCGTAATAATCAAGGAACTTTCGCAGCGCCTGAAAATAGGCTAACTTCCGCCAACATAACCAACGAGACCACCTGCTTGCACAGGGAGCGTGCTGGGGACTATTTTCAGGCGCTGCATAATATCATAACTTTGCTGCCGTCTAATCAGATTCAATGATCTATGCTAAGCTACAGCTAAAAGTGCTACCGCCAGACCCGGAGATCGGCTGAATGGATTCGAAAACGGTAAAACTCAACTGTTTAACTCTAGGGGAGTTGGAAAATGAGCCTATTTTCAAAAATAGTGGCGTGTTCCTTTAAGTATTGAACTGATTTTCTGAAATAGGCTACAAAGTCTACCGCACAGTCATTATGTAAAAAAACATCTCGTTTTATACCCCTAAAAGGGCAACGTAACCCTCTGATGTACAAACATTTACAGACAGATTACGAAAAAAAGTACAAATTAAATTCTGAAAATTTCAACATAAACATAAGCTAAGGCTTAACAACTTTTTAAACATGCAAGTCCCCTCCAAACATTGTAAATGTATGAAATACATCAACTTCTATACGAGGGTGAGTATTTTCCCACTACAGGTGGTCATGATGTTTTTAAATACTGCCTGTGAGCTAAACAATCAACAATCAATCAATTATAATAAATAATGCAATTCTCAACATAAAAAAAAAAAAGAAAAAAAAGTCAATTGTCAATTTTATTTCATGGTGAAACACTGAAAGATAATCATACCTTTATGAACGGAAGGCTTCCTCTCAATGACAAAATCATCATCAGATGACATGCTGTCCACTACGAAGCGTCTCAAACTGAGGGGTGAAATATAAAAACCGATGATCGACAGTAATGGCGATATACGGAAGAACTTGTTTAATGCAAATGATGCAACACTGACCCGTCATCACTGCTACTCACAGACTGCGACTGGACTTTAGCCTTTGGGGTTTTCACTCGATTTAAAACTAGAAAAAACACAAAACTGTGACATCTCTCAAAAATCAGTTATCTGATTTAAAAGCAGTCGATAAAGGACTTACATGTTTCAAATTCATCATCGCTCTCTGAAGACAGAACTGGAATTGGTTCTCTGGGGGGGAGGGAAAGTTATTTAGTTCAGGGTGTTGATGATGTTGGGACTATATACAAATATATTCACTATTTTAACATGCAGAGAGTCACTTTATTCACCACATATCAGTCCTATCGCTTTATATAAGAAAATTAAAGACACGGAACTCAACTAAAACTGTAAGGATATGATCCCAGAGATTCACAGCAGCCGATGAACATGTGTTTGGCATAACTATAAATTAAAAATATATAGTCTCACCTTAGTTTCTGGGCAGCGGATGCAGACTGTTTAAATGTAGATTTGGGTGTAGCCTTTGCAGCAAGAACTAGTGAGAAAAAACATCCAAAACTCAAAAGCGATCATTAATAATGTAAGAATGCATGCAAGCACAAAGTGTTCCTCAGCCCAAACGTACACTTATCAAAGTCCTCATCATCTGAAGTCAACAGCACGTGTTTTTCTTGAGACTGATTCTCTTTCCCTGAGCCAGTGTCCGTGTCAGACAGCAGCAGTCTGTGCGCTGGATCTGTGCTTGAGGACTCATAACTGCCCAGCGCTGGACGTCTGCTCTTCTTCAAGCTCTTACGCAACTGAAACAGCAGCAAGAGACAGGCTCTGATGAGACATCTCGAGAGGAGTTTTATGTAAATGATGTATGTGTTCAATATAAGCATTAGACCTTCTCTTCAGCTTTATCCAGACCACCATCTCTGTCCCAGCCCAGCTTTTCGGAGACCCTCTGAAACAGCGATACAGTGCCGGGATCCATCGCCACATGAAGTGTGGAAAGCTACTGATCAGCACCTGAGCACTTCACTCTCCTGTTGGCACAGAAACAAAGCCTAAAAATTTTTTTTATGCATTTACAAATGAAAACCAGTGTTGGGGAAAGTTACTTTTAAAAGTAATGCATTACAATATTGCGTTACTCCATAAAAAAAGTAACTAATTACGTTACTTAGTTACTTTTTATGGAAAGTAATGCGTTACTTTACTAGTTACTTGAAAAAAGTAATCTGATTACGTAACTCGCGTTACTTGTAATGCGTTACCCCCAACACTGATGAAAACAATGCCGAACTGAACTGTTGCAACTGAAGGCGGCTTAGATTGTATTGTTCTGAGTCTATGTTATACATGGGACTTTTCATCTGTTTACATCAGAACGGATTAAAATTAATAAAATATTAAATGAATACAATAAATAAAATTTAAAACTACAGTACTATAGCAACACACTATAATATCTCTAAGCATTACGACTGGACATCTCAGAAAGGCAACAATTAATCAAGCTAGTTATAAAACTACACGGCTGTAAGTAATACAATGCTGCCAAAGCTGAAATATATTCAAAAATAGATAATACATAATTAATATATGACTAAGCTAAACATATAACAACATATGTGAACGTTTAATATCGACATACTTCAATCCTGTCCTGCAGAGTTTAGCTCCGACCTGCCACAACACACTGGCCTGAGGTCTCTAGTAATCCTGAAGACCTTGATTAGCTCGTTAAGATGTGTTTAATTAGGATTGAAGAGAAACTCTTCAGTAAGTTAGTACAGGACTGGACACCCGTGCACTAACGTACGTCTATAAGTTACTCTAACCTTACTACTTCAAGATACACCTGCCGTTTTAATAACGGTTAGTACATCACTCATATCATGATGATATATCATCAAATCATGCATACAGACCCGTTTATCACTTAATAATAAAATGAATATCTAACCTAAACTGGTTATATTTACCGGCGTTCTTCGTGTCTGCAATATCTACTGGCTTTTACTAAAGCGACCATATGACAAACGCACACACTTGCTAACAAACGGAAATTTAGCTTTAGCCCAAATGTTTTGTTTGTTCAACATACCTGGTAAAACTGAATTTGATATACAGCGCCTTCAATCAAATAAGCAGAACTTTAAACCACCAGCTCGCTGCGCGACTGCGTAACAGCGTTCAAATTTCCCCAACCGGAACTTGTCATCTGAGAGAAGAAAAAAAAAACAACTTCCGGTGTTACAATAAATTCGGTTCCTGAAGGATTTGGTTCTACTGGGTGGCGCATATATGAAATAAAGCCAGTCTGGTTGGTTGGTAATAAGTAAAGCTGGTGATGCTGTTTGTGGAGATGTTTAATCATCCTCTGCTGAGATCTCGAGAGATTGAATGTCTTCTTCTATTTCAGTTGATATCTAAAGCTGTGGCTTGAAGAACAGCTGCACAAGCAGAATCACTGAAGGAAAGAGAAGCAAGAGCTGAAAAACATGAGATGATGAGACTGTAGTTGTTGTGTTTCTGCTCATCTCATCTGTTTTTCAGTTCTGGTGTCTCTTTCCTTCAGTGATTCTGCTTGTTAACAGCAGCTGTTCATCATTCTCTCGGTCAGGTGGACTATATCAGTAAACTAGCCAACAGTAAATGAGGGTGTGATTTGGGACAGTCTCTGAATGGTGATAATTCACAGTATATTGCAGTAAACTACTTTCTCGGAAACAACCCAGATGCATCAGTTTCTCTGGTTTAATGGAAAACAGTATGTTACTGTTAAAATGTTTACATCGGAGTTTTACAGTGTGTAGAAAGTGCTATGTAAATAAAGATGAGTTGAGCTGACTTGAAGAGGAATTCAAAGAAGAAAAGGAAATTGAAGAAAAAGACAAAAGTCAAGAGAAATCAAAGAAGCTGAAGGAGAAGAAAAAAGAAAAGTCAAAGACGAAGACGTTGATGTCAAAGTAGTGAAAAAAGAAATATAACCTTGAAGTTGAAGATGACGTTGAAAGTGTCAAAAAGCTGAAGAAGAAATCAAAGTTGGAAGACGTCAAAGTCAAAAAAGCAGAAGTCAAAGATAGTCAAAAAAGTAATCGAAGTCGTCAAAATAAAAAAAATCAAGAATTCAAAGAAGTTGAAGAAGTCTAAGATGTCGAAGTTGAAGAAGTTAATCAAAAAAGAAGTAAAAAAAAATAAATAAAAAAAGTCGAAGTTAATGACACTGAAAAAGTCAAAAGTTTAAGTCAAAAGAAAAATAACTCGAAGTTGAAGTCAAAAACAAGGAGCCAAGGAAGTCAAAGAATTTGAAGACGACAAAGTTGAAAAAGAAGACGGCATTGAAGACAGAAGTTGTTGAAGAATATGTTGAAAAAGTCGAACAACAAAGAAGTTAAAGAAGAATACAAAGTCTAAGAAATCAAAGAATAAAGCCTGAGGCAGCTGTGTTTGGGCCTCTAGCTGTCTCTGGGATGTTCATCCCTCTGTTCTGTCAGAGATTTAAGTTAGGGACATCCATGCTTTAATATCTGACAAACGAGGTGAAAGAACAAAGCATGGTTGTTTTGCTTAAAAGGTACATATTTTTATATCTAACTTGATGCAAGCAAGTCATCAACTCTGATGCCGTTTCAATGCAATGAAGTGATCTAAACCATGACTGGAATTCCTCGCTGATACTGACGAAACATTTGCTCTATTCATTTTCTAATTGTTTTTTTTTTTCTTTAAAAAAAGGGCCGCTAACATTACCTTTCTCTATTCTTTTTCTATTCTATACTTGTTTTTTTATTGTATGTATGCATGTATGTATATATATATATAACCTTGCTACGTGTACTGCATTAAGCTAACTGAGACTTGTCATAGCACTTGCATACCATTGCTCTTTTGTTGCAAAAATGTAGAAAATAGAATACATAAAGGTAAATTCTGGAAGCTAAAGTCTGGAAGTAAAATATTACACCCAGTCTACACTGAAATGAATGTGATGTGAAAAGAGCCCATTCTGATCAGTGATACTGTGCACACTGGATGACACATGCATCATTTTCAAAAATAGCACAAATGGATTATTTAGCATTTCTTTATTGAACTGAATACAGCGATTAAATTTACAGTGGGTGCACATCACAGTTTAGTCAGTAACAAGACACCCTGCACAACGTAACAGTAGTATAGATCACAATAACCAGTATGTGTTAGCTCCTAAAAGGAATGGAAGAACAAATGAAAATGAAAAACAAAAACCGCTGCCAAGTATGTGCAACTCTCTTCAAGGTTTGCCACATCTCTTTATTTCAGTTTATGTAAAGAGCCTTGCACAATTGACACTGACAGTGCATAAATAAAACGAGTTAATAGGAAGACAGTGTACAAAACCAAAACAGCTTAGAACATACTTACCTAGAACTTTCCTGCTAAAACCATAAAAAAGAATGAAAAATCAGGAGTCGGTACTTGAGCAGTTTGCAGGCCTTCTGTCAGTGTGTAATAAGACACTCCTCTGTTTAGCGTGCTCACATTGCATGTTTTGAAAAAGAGGACATTTTCTCTATCGGTGATCCGGGGAATGCATCCGCCACTCGGATTGAAGTCATGATGACAGAAAGCTAAAATAGGTCAAGAAGCACATAACCTAACTAAAAAAAGCCCCTATCTGTGATGATTACGTTTATATATTTTCTGAATTATTGTAAGACTGCCCCTTCTCATTTCAGACCCCACTTTTTTTTTCATAAAGTCCACCTCAGTTACAGAAAAGTCCTTTAGAAGCAGAGAAACAAACAAAACGAAAGTGGAGCCAACCAACATCAATTTAGTCAGACGATGGGAAAGGGGGAGGAGTCTCAGTGGAGCAGCTTTGTGCATCCTGCTGTCCACTCTGGCTCATGGAAACAAAAGCTGGCTGGGATCGTAGTCACGGTGCTCACCTGTAGGCTCCAGAGTCTCTGTGACCGTCACATACTGGGGGGCGGGGGACATGCAGGGACAAGCTTAGCTTAGGTGCTCTCGCTGCTCTCCAGAGACTGCATTTCGACCAGGTGGTCAGGTTTGCCTCCAGCGGCGTAACGCTCCCACATCTGCAGGTAGAGTCTCTCCAGGTCCATGGTGTAGAGTTTGGTGTTGAAGAGCGGGCTGCAGATGCGCTGCTTCCACACGCGGGAGCGGACCTTCTTCAGGCTGAGCGGAACGAAGGGAGAACGTGTTTCAAGCATCTTAAACGTGTCTTGTTTTGAAAGTGGAAATTGACTAAAGGAACTTACAATTCCATATCAGTGCCAAGCTTCACAGCAACGTCTTCATACTCCTGACGGCTTTGGGCGATGAGCTCGGGGCAGCCAAGACAGGTGAGCTGAGAGGCAGCAACACGTGAAGCCAGTGTCTCTCCTGCAGAAAACATCAAGACGTCAGGGCAAGCTAAATTATGATCATGGATGAAAAATAGTTTCATTTCAATTTCAATTGAAGCTATTCCTTGCAAATAAACTGTATTATTATATTATGGGGCCGTTGAACGCTTGAAACTGATTGGCTGGCAAACGTTCTAAGCAGTGTCAATTTTCGACCAACGACATTTTTTCACCGACGAAAACGAGACGACAACTAAAACACCAGTTTTTAATGACAAAAACTACAACAAAAATATACTCTCATTTTCGTCAACGAATAAAAACGAGACGAAAATGTTAGGGAAGGGCGATCTGGGAAGATATCCAGTCAGACTCAGTCAGGACTGATGTCTTATGTGGTAGTTACAGTAAGTACACTTGCATTGTATTTGTACCGTCGTGATCTAACCTCGGGAAAACGCGGCGCTCTACAGACTTCGCGCAGCAGTGCTTCTGACTGCTTCAATGAGGGTTGTAATCAATGAATAGCGCACATTTATGCCAACGACTGCTTATGAACTAATGTTGATGAATTATGACAATGTTTACTATACGATATTTATATGGTAATATGTTTTAGGAGTTTGGTGTTGAAGAGCGGGCTGCAGATGCGCTGCTTCCACACGCGGGAGCGGACCTTCTTCAGGCTGAGCGGAACGAAGGGAGAACGTGTTTCAAGCATCTTAAACGTGTCTTGTTTTGAAAGTGGAAATTGACTAAAGGAACTTACAATTCCATATCAGTGCCAAGCTTCACAGCAACGTCTTCATACTCCTGACGGCTTTGGGCGATGAGCTCGGGGCAGCCAAGACAGGTGAGCTGAGAGGCAGCAACACGTGAAGCCAGTGTCTCTCCTGCAGAAAACATCAAGACGTCAGGGCAAGCTAAATTATGATCATGGATGAAAAATAGTTTCATTTCAATTTCAATTGAAGCTATTCCTTGCAAATAAACTGTATTATTATATTATGGGGCCGTTGAACGCTTGAAACTGATTGGCTGGCAAACGTTCTAAGCAGTGTCAATTTTCGACCAACGACATTTTTTCACCGACGAAAACGAGACGACAACTAAAACACCAGTTTTTAATGACAAAAACTACAACAAAAATATACTCTCATTTTCGTCAACGAATAAAAACGAGACGAAAATGTTAGGGAAGGGCGATCTGGGAAGATATCCAGTCAGACTCAGTCAGGACTGATGTCTTATGTGGTAGTTACAGTAAGTACACTTGCATTATTTAATTTAATTTAATTTTCCATCTAATTAACAACTATTGTTGCTTCTGTCTGGGATTCCCCATCACAGGATGGACAGCCTAAGAACATTATTCAAAATATTATTTAATAAATACATTTTACTAGCATCAGCTTTTCATAGTTAAAACTAAAACCATAAAATATTTTCATTAATTGAAATAAAATAAATGTTAACTGAAATTATAAAGCAAATCTATAAAAAAGGTAATAAATATTTAAAATACATATATTTAAAAAACTTATTTTATTTTATTTAGTTTATAAGCTTTAGCTTAATTTGATGTACTAAAATAACCAAAACAAAAAATAAAATAATGCATTACAATTTAACTAAACCCTTTAAATTTTAGTCGACTAAAATGGTATGATATTTAGTCGACTAAAACAAAAACAATTCAGATGACTAAAACTAAATCTGGTTCTGAGGTGTGCAATTATTTTCAGGGAAACGCACGGCGAACATAGTTCCAGGCAGCTCTTGACCGCATTACATGTCCATATCACTTCGCCAAACGATTTGAGTTATTTCAAAGGTCCTTACAACCTAAAACAGCAAAAGAACCAAAACACTGGCCAAGCAAATAAATATAGTAAACAACAGGATAAAAATGACAGATCATTTTCATGTTTTTGCCACAAAATTACGTTTTAATATGTACGGAAAGCACATTCTCTCTCCCGCTCTCTCCCTTACAGACGCACATACAGTTTGCACACACGTGCTAATGTTGTTAGCGCTACTCTTAACATAGTTTAACAACTTAAAATCTACATGACTTCTCACAAGCGAGGTAACAACGACACTGTTCGTGAAGAAAATGAATTTAAAGTTTCACTAAAACTAGAGACATTGCTGCTGAACACTTTTGAGAGACACAGATTCAGAGGTAATCTCTCTCTCTTTCTCTCTAACTTAGTTATTAGTCTGCTATCAACAGCTCAAGCCTCTGTTACTAGGTTTAAAATTAAGTTTTGGAATTAGCAACGGAGGCATTGGATGAGATGCGTAAGAAATTAATCCTACTTACTAGGGGTGCTCCGATCAGGATTTTTGAGGCCGATCACCGATCGCAGAAAGCAGTATCTGCCGATACCGATCACCGATACTGATCTTTTTTAGAAATTTATTTATTTTTGAAAATGGGGGGAATTCCCCTCTTAGGTGACTCTTGTGAGAGGAGAAGCAGCGTTCACACAGGAACTCCTGAACGCACTGCCGGACCGCAACAGTGTGCAGTGTGAACGCTTTAATCCGTTAACATGTGCGCAGAAAAAATACACACCACATTCGCACTGCAAACGGAGTAATGTGAACCTGGCGTTATATGTGTGCGCTTATCTTCAGGAGCGCTGAATGGTTAAACACACTGGCAAGAATTAAAAAGTAATGCAATTTATAAACTTTAGTGACGATGTGACACTGCCTCGATTGTGCAAGTGACAATTCCTGTGTCAACTGTGCAGCGTGTAGCTCGCTTATAGACAGACGCGATGTGGTGATTTGAAGACATTTGCGTATTTTGAGAGAGAGCGCGCGCGGTGATTCACTCACGCTTTTTATGAAGTTACGTCTCTCACAAGGTTTTCAAATTACTTTATAAGTTATTTAATGAAGAAATATAGCATTATAATTATTTCCTTCAGTATTATAATAATTTCACCCGCGCCGGACAGAGACTGAG